AGACACCTCGTGCCGAGTAGTTCCTAATCCAAATCCCCCCAGCCCTCCAATAACTATTAATGTGGAATTTGATGTCTGAGGAAGAACCTGAAGAAGAAATGGATCCTAAGGAAGATGATGATGATGGCAATGATGGTAATGATGGGAGTGATCCTGAGTATAATCCAAAGAAGTACAAGGAGATGAAAGATAATATTGACAATGTCAACATTTGCAGATTTTAGACTAACTTTTCCTTAGAGTTTTGAGCATTTATTTCATTCTTTATTTATAGTTGCAGTTTAATAAAGTATAGCATATGAGTAATAAGTAGCAAGGCTACATTTGGGATATTCCAAACATTTCTTTTCTGTATTGTAATAAAGTACCGTTTATTCTTTACTTATTCATTTCAATCTTCAACCAAGCCTACCAAGTATCATTTCTTACTTTTTATTTCTGTTAATGGTACTAAGGGAAATGAATCAAAATATTTTTGTGAAGTGCTTACTTAAGTGAAATGGTTGCATGACAACCAAAACAATGTATTGAATTATTAGTAGGAGAAAATGAGTATGTAGGTGCTTCTACTATAATTCAAGATGGCTGCCTGTGTGCTTGATTTAAAGTAGTCTAGTTGTTGTCTAATTATAAAATAGTTGTCACCAACCTAATAGTAGTAATTTCTTTTATTCAGGAGGATTAGGATAGATGGGAGAAACAACAATAACAATGATCTGAATGAAGTAATTAGGCAACTAGCTAATGTAACTCAATAGTTAGCTGAGAGGGGTAACAATAACAACCCTGACCCTGTTGGGGAGTTGTTTAAGAAGATTGCTTAAAGTAAACCTTCTACACAGTAGGGAGAACCTGACCCAACTGTCCTTGAAAATTGGCTGAGAGAGTTCGATAAGTTGTTTGTGGCAGTAGCATGTCCTAATGAGTCTAAAGTGAGTAGTGCAGCTTACTACTTGAGGGGTGAAGCAAATTTGTGGTGGCAGCAGAATGAGCAAACTGTGAAAGCCTTACCTAAATTTGGATGGAATGTGTTCGGCAACAAGTGAAGGATAAGTTCTACCCAATGTTCTTGCAAAAGCAGAAAGCTGATGAATTTCTAGAACTTAAGATGGGGAATATGTTGGTGACAGAGTATTACACTAAGTTCGTCGAGTTGTCTAGATTTGCTGAAGATATTGTGGCTACTGATAGGCAGAAAGATAGAAGGTTTGAGAGGGGATTGCCTCTTTCTCTCCAAGGCAAGTTGTTAGGACAAGTGTTTGATAACTTGGAAGAGTTAGTTGTATGGTAGAGCAGAGCATTTACATGCGTTGGAGTTGAAGGAAAAGGCTTAAAAGGCAGTGTTGGAAGCTAGAGAGAAGAGAAAGGAGCCTATGACCAATTCTAGACCATCTGGGAACCAGAATAACTTTAAAAAGCGGAAGTTTAACAATCACCAAAGCAACAACTTTCAGAACAATAGGAACAACCAAGGTGGGCATAACTTTCCCAGGGGAAATAGAAACCGGCCTGGAGATCGTAATTACTATTACAAGAGATGTTCCAACAATCACCCAGTAAAGGATTGTGATGGTAACTTAGTCACTTGTAACCTGTGCAACAAGCAAGGACACAAGGCGTATGAGTGCTTCTCTAAGAATAAAGGGAGTCAAGGAAAAAATCAGTCTAAGGGTAATGGACAGACCTAGAATCAGCAGAAACAGGGTAGTAATGGGAATCAAGTGAACAAGGGGGCGTAGTTTCAGAGTGGGAATAAGAATACCAATGGTGGGAATACACAGGTCAAAGGCGGAACATCAGGGAAGCTTAATGTGATGGGTTCGCGTGAGGCTAATGCAGCGAAGGATGCCATTACTGGTATATTTTCTATAAACTTAGTTCCTGTTAAAGTTTTGTTTGATTATGGTGCAACATATTTTTTCATTTGGTACCTTTTGTATCCCATATTGAGCTACATGTAGAAATGAAACCGGCCATTTGAAGCTGAAATTACGCATATCAAGCTGAGAAGAAATGTGCATCAGAAAATTGGGAATTACGAGCCCTTAAAAACCCATCGGTTTTTTGTTTTGTTTTTTTTTCATGGTTAAATTCCTGATATTCCTTCCACTCTTTCACCTTTAATCTTATCCCTTCTTCTTAAAGGTAACAATTTTCATAACGTTTCGATTTTTTTGGTTTTTTCCAATTTTGAACTTGAGCCAATAACGAGCTCGAGCCGAGCTCCATTTTTTAGCACTCAAGCTCGAGCCGAGCTTAATTTTCAAGGCTCGATGAGCCACGAGCTCGAGCCGAGCCTCAAACTCAAACTCACGAGCTCGAGCCGAGCCTACCAGTATTCGGGCTCGGCTCATTAATAGCCCTAACTTGAAGTATTAAAAAATTGTAAAAGAAAATATTGGGGTGAATAATTTATTGAAAAGTAATGAATGTGATTTTTAAAAAACAAAAAACAGTACGACATTGAAAAATAATGAATGTGTGAGGAAAGAAAAAAAACAATAGTAGTGAGTTTGGGTGGGAACCATGAGAGGAGATATAAATAATATTAAAATGTAACGTTTTGCCAAAAATGGAAGTGTAACACTTAAAAAGAAAAAACAAGACTACATTTGATAAGTGTAACACTTGAAAAAAAAACACGAAGGGAGTATTCTTTTTGCCGCGAAAATTGCTCTAGTAAGGTTTTATAGGTCATTTAAAGCCTTAAGGATCGATCCAAATTGAACTCGAAATTGACAAAAAAAATAATGTAAACGCCTCGTTTTTCACATCCAATAATGTCAATTTCGAGCTCAATTATGTCTATTTCAACATGCAAAACGAGGCATTTACGTTATTTTTTTGTAAATTTCGAGTTCAATGTGAATCTTTAAGGCTCAAATGATCGTATCTCTAAAACCTTACCCAAGCATTTTTTGCGGAAAAAGCATAGTAACACGCAAAACAAGGCACATATATTCTTTTTTGTCGATTTTGAGCTCAATATGGACCCTTAAGATCATTAAGAACCAAAATGACCCCCTAAAACTTTAACAGAATATGTATTTTCAGCGCACGAATCGAGAAAAAAATTATAGTTGACCACCAACGGTACCCTAACGGAAAATGTTAAGTGGTAGCAAAATCTATTTTTTGTGCTTTTGGTGGTAGTGAAATAAAATAAAATTTTAGCTAAAGAAATAAGTAGCAAAAATCAAAGTGGTGCTTTTTAGTGGTAGTAAAAGTCAAAATTTCATAACAGTAATAATCTAAACAAGCCCATAAATAGAAGCTAAGTTTAGAGAAACATATATGGAAAACAATCATCTTAGTATAGTAGATAATCATGATTACACATTTATTGAGCACTATTATTTGTGGTAGTAACTAGTAACAATATTCTAACACAAGCCTTTTAATAGAAGCATCTATAGAAGGCAATTATGTAATATAATATGAAGTAGTTTGTTTGTTTACAGGGATATGGATAAAATGAAAGGAATTTAACAATTCTTTTATTTGCTTCGAGGGATAGGGATAAGGAAGGGGAAAGGGAAGGGGGTACATAAAAGCGTAGTTATATATCCCTCCAAAATAATGCCTACGGGGTGGTATAAGCCTATAAGGAATGGTAATATGATCAAAGAGCAAAAGACATTAATACTTTGGGGGGAGAGTGAAGAAAGGTAAGTAAGGATACTTATGTATTTTAATTAGTTTCCAATCTAATCTACAAATCATACAAACAATGAAAATTGTCAATTTTATCCTTATCTAACTTACTAATTCTCTATCCTTATCCTACTTTCTTACCATCTTTATTCTCATCCCCCATACTAAATGCCCCGTAAATATATAATCATAGACAATCATGACTGCATTCTATAGACATCAAATCATGTCTCTCCAGAAACACCTGATCATTGAATGCGTACAATTTGTCTTATTTGATTCGAATATGAAAATTATCCGAAGATGTGAAATAAAACTTTGAAACCGAGCCCAAATAATTCGTATTCATTTCAAACCTCATACCAAGCCTTATAGCCCCAATACGGCCAATAGGCCCAATTTAATAGTTATTATCCATAAACGTTGACCCAATTTTTATAATTAACCTTGTTTCGAGTTGTAAACTATACTTCACCATGAAAAGGCCAATTCAAGCAACATTCATAGTACACAAATACATGATAAGCGGACTTAAAAGTCCAACTATATCTAGTTCTTTGAGTAATTGGAGAAACCCCAAGATCTTTGGTTTTTGCACCATATTTTGTACAATGAACCATAAGATAGAGGTTATTCCATTCTCACTTTCCACCGTATAATCAACCGGAAATTAAACACACCCCAACCCGTAACAAATGATTGATCTTTCACAATCGAGAACAAAATTATTAGGACTAATACAATTTTCAACATTGTTTTTGAATTGGTTGATTAGTTTTTCTTTGAGGTTTCTGAAATGATTTTTTTTTTCCCAACAAATTTTAGGAATGGTATTAGTGCATTAATATTGACTTTAGCATTATTTGTAGTAGTAACAATTACCAAAACAAGCCAATAAATATTGGCTAGATTAATTAAAACATATATATATATATATATATATATATATATATATATATATATATATATACGGGGAGGTTCCGCTAAAAACAGGGCTTATGGTGAAAACTAAAAACAGAAAATCTCAACCATCCATTGTTACTAACAAGATCTAACGGTTTAAAAAAAAATAAAATAACATAGAGTCACTATATATAAAAATAACGTAACTATATACAAAAATAGGGTAACTATATCAATTTTTACAACATTTGTCACTATATACAAAAATAGGGTAACTATATCAATTTTGATCCTATTAATAGAAGTCACTATATACAAAAAAAGGGTAATTATATCAATTTTGACCATATTTACATAGAAGTCACTATATACAAAAATAGGGTAACTATAACAATTTTTACAACATTTACATTAAGGTCACTATATACAAAAATAAAGTAACTATATCTGAGTTTTTGACACCATTTACATAAAGGTCACTATATACAAAAATAAAGGTCACTATATATAAAAATAAGGTGATTGAACCAAAATTTACAACATTTCCATAAATCTAAGGTCATTATATCGAAAATAAGGTAATTATATAAATTTTGACAACATTGACCACATTTATATAGATGTCACTATTTACAAAAGTAAGGTAATTATCATCAACTTCTCCTTCTCTGGCCTCCTTGTCATCAGATAATTTCTCATGCTCCTCCTTGTCATCGGATAATTTCTCCTGCTCCTCCTTGTCACCACCAAAGGAGTAGTCCACTGGCTCCAAACCCCGGCAATCAAAGCTCATCAAACGGACAAACTTTCCAGCTTCACAGTCATCACCTGTTAGATAGCGGCCAGATTTTGGTATCATTGTAATAGTACCCTCCCTGCCACAGAACTTGCACTGAAATAATGAAAGGGTGATTGATTAGCAACAAGCCAAATGACCCTCATTTTTGTTCATTCTTTTGTGAGAAATAGAATCTGAGATAATTTTTCTATGAAGTAATTATGTCCGTGCAGTGTAACAATCTAGCAATGCTAGTAATTGACATACTATTTATAAAATTAAAATTGCACAACAAAATAAAAGGCAGTAAAGCAATACAGTAATACTCAGCATACCACTAATTTACAATTATATCAAAAATCAAAAGGAAGGTGTTTTGTAATACCTCATCTAGTATCTTTCCTCTGTAGCTGTTTTTCCACCAGTCCTTGAACCCTAGACCTCTGGTTTCAAGAATCTTGAAAGCCACCACCAGAGCCAAAGAGGACTAGTGAACCAAACACCAATATCATGCATTATATACTTTATAAACTGTATAACTTTTGCCATTATTAGGCATTAGTGAATCAAACACCAATATCATAAATTATATACTTTATAAATTGTATAACTTTTGCCATTACTAGGCATTAGTGAATCAAAAACCAATATCATACATTATATACTTTATAAACTGTATAACTTTTGCCACTATTAGGCATAGCATAACTTCAAGCAGTAGTAGTAGGGTCAATTCAAATACAGGTGGGGTCATACTTGAGGTGATGGTCATCTTTTGGTAAGGCTGTTAGGCTAATTTCACTTTCTAATTAACTTCAAATTAAAAGGCCATAACTTACTGTGTTCTTGTTGATAGGAATTGCGTTAATCCATTTCAAATCAGGTTTGCTTTGGTCCATTTCAATTAAAGCCAGCAACCTCTCCAGAGTATATAACAAGTAAATACAAATTAGCATTGTTAATTAGGTGGTTTCATTATTTTGACAAAAATATATATCAAGTGCTTGTGCCTACATCCAACCCTCTCAGCTTCTGACATCCGAAGCTCTGCAGGAATTTCCTGAAATTGAGCAGCAAGCGGCTGGTCTCCAAGAGACAAACTAACCGAAACAAAGGCTTTTATTGTTGCCTCTCCATTTCTGAATGTAGTATCCACAGATAATCACAATTTCAATTTACAAGAAATGACAACAACATTCTGACCTATTCTCACTTCATCAAGTAATCCAGGAACATTAGGTTTTTGCCATTGAACAAAAATCACAAATGAAAACGAACAAAAACCAAGCAAAATCAAACAGGAAATCGAACAAAATCGAACAGGAAATTGCAAAATCAAACAAATCGAACAAAATTGATGAAAAAAAGTCGAAAAAATTGATGAGCAAAAGTCACAAAATCGCATGCTATACAACAAATTTCGAATCCAAACAACAATTTATATTCCATAACAAAAACATTCGAGCAATTAACTAGCAATAAACCCTAGATTGTGAAATTGATAGTCGATAATTTAAGAAATACTACCTGAGAAGCCGCTTCAATGGAGAAGAAAGCTCAAAGTCGCTTCAATGGAGGATCGAGAAAGCTCAAACTCGCTTCAATGGAGGAGAAAGCTCAAAACTCGCTTCAATGGGATGAATATTCAGCGACGAAAATGATTAACTCACATAATTGATTGTTGAAACGCAAAACTCACTTTTCAGGTTCAATTTTGAAGCTAAAGACGAAATTGATGAAGATTGAAGCAAATTATTGATGAAGATTGAAGCAAATTCCTCTGAAATTTGATGATTTTTTGGGAGGAGGAGAGAGAAATAGTGAGATCGTGAGATTGAAGAAAGATAAAAATAGAGCAGAGAGAATGGACGGTCAAGATTACAAAATAAAAATTCAATGGTCTAGATCATCTGTTTTCAGTTTTCAGCTTAAGGTTTGTTTTTACATGATCCAATCTCTATATATATATATATATATATATATATATATATATATATATATATATATATATATATATATATATATATATATATATATCAAAAGCAATCATATGCATATATGGTAGATAATAATGCTGGCTTATGAATTGAGCACTATTATTTGTAGAAGTAACAATAATATACAACAGTAGCCCTAGTAGGTAATCATGATTACCTATTATATTAGCATGATTTCCTTCCATATATGCTTTTATAATTATAAATTCAATTGTTGTATTATTTAAACAAGTTCATACCTATAAGTTTATCACCTTGATAAACAAAATCTACTAATCAGTGGCAACACCGTAAATGCATCAACCTTTTTTTTTATTAAAAAGGGCCCCACATTCCCTCATGTGTTGATATAATTATTACGAAATGAGCATGTTTGTTGGTTTATTTGCAAATTTGTCATTTGATAAACAAAGTTGGGGCTTCCTCCACAAATACACCCTCTTCGTTCTTTTTTGTTTTGCTCACTTTTCATTTGGAGCCCTCTTTTTATGTTCTACTTACTTTGCTTTATTCTATTTTTAGCATACACTTTTTACCATCTTACCCTTTCATCTTTCCATATTTTTTCTCTCTTTTACTTTATTTTATTTTCTTATATAAACCTACCTTTTTACATTCTCTTTCTTACTTTATCTTACACACACTCACATTTTTCAATATTTTCATAAAATTTGAAATCAATATTAATCGAGTAGAACATAAAAGAATAGAGGTAGTATAATTAAAAAAAATTATAGAAGCATATATGGTGCTGGAGAATTTTAGAGTATTAATTGATTATATTCATTTATGTTAAGTTTAAGTCATTTGGTTAAGGTGTCATGACTTAGACAACATATGATTAAGGTTCGGTACAAGTTACAAGTTAGAAAATCTTAAAGAGTGAAAATCTTCACAACTCGCCATGCATTTTCGAACCTTCAAATCCTCGAATTGAGCTATGGCTAAGGGTAAGAAATCGAAGGGAAGCAAGAATTCTAACTCTAAATCGATGAAAAAGCATAAATCAAAACAAAAATCGAAACCCGTGACTCAGAATTACACCAAGAGGAAGGAACATGTTTAGCTTCGGAGGATGTTTGTGTGGAAAGCTGGTTGGAGTCTGCAATGGCAAATGAGATTTTGGTGAAGGACAACATCAGGAACAGTTCAATCAATGGCTTCAGGTAATCCACCATTCCTCGAACTCCATTGATGCTGAGCTCAATCAAGCTTCTGTTTTCGGTAATTTTGGAAGTGGGTTTGTTAATCCTACTCCATTGATGATTGTTGGTGATACTCTGAACTCTGGAAATAGAGTTAGTAATTTTTCCACAAATTCTGCTAACCCAGATCCTTAATGCTCTGTTTTATGAACTCCTGCTATTCGAAACCCTGTTTTTTAATCTGTTTCTACTAATGTTAATAGTAGGGATTCTGGAGGGATAATTTGTTCAAGAATGTTGTTGATGAGAGTCTAGATTTGTCTGAACCTAGGAGAGTTAATGGTATGAATAATGGGAATAGTAATGGGAAATTGCAGATCTCAATTGAGGATATTCAAGGGGAGGTTGATTTCTGGAATTCTGCATTAATATGTTATGTGATTAGCTCTAAGCCTCCATATAGTGTCATTAATGGGTTTGTTCGAAGAATTTGGGGGAATTTGGAGTGGTTAAGGTTGCAATAAAACCTGATGGAGTATTTCTAGTTCGATTTAAATCTGTTGATGGTAGGGACAAAGCTCTGAATCTGGTCCTGTTCTTTTTAATAAGAAGCCAGTAGTAGTGAGACAATGGACTCTTGGAATTAAGCTGGGGAGGAGATTATTTCAGAGGTTCCTATTTGGATCAGGTTACCTGATCTAAATCTGAAATTTTGGGGACACTCTGCTTTAATGAAAATAGGATCCTTGATTGGTAAGCTTATTAAGACTGATAAGGCAACTGCAAGTAAAAAGAAGTTGGATTATGCTAGAATAATGATTGAGGTTCAGTTTAATGGTCAAATCCCTGATGTTGTTGAATTCCTGGATGAAAATGGGAGGAATGTGATGCAAAAAGTTATTTATGAGTGGAAGCCAGTGACATGTAAGGAATGCGGTGGGATGGGGCATGTGGCTGATCATTGTCCTAATCACATTGTTCGAGCTAGGAAACTGAAGTAAGCTCATGTCAAGAAGGTTTGGAGGCCTATTCAAAAGAATGTTGTGACTGATAATGCTGCTCGGAACAAGAATTATGATGATACTGGCCAGGATAAAGCTGTAGGGGTTGGTGATGATGGGGTTACTAAGAATAGAAGTATGGCACAAGCTCAGGTGCAGGTTACAGGACAAGTTCAAGGTGGTGTGAGTAGGACTAGGTTTAGTGTGTTGGAAGTGGTGGATGAGGGGGAGTGCTCACATAACTTTAATGGATAAGTGAGGTTTCTGGAATGTTAGGGGCCTTAACCAACCTAATAGAGTGTGTGATGTGCTTTGGTTTGTTAAACGGCATGGTTTAGGCCTCTTTGGGCTTGTTGAGACTAAGGTGAAGGCTGGTAACTTTGGGAAAGTGTTTTCAAGGCTTGGAAATGATTGGTCTGTGGTAGTTAACTACGGGTGGGAGGATCTGGGTGATTTGGTTTCCTCTTGTTTTTTATGTTACTATTTCAAGAGTAGAGGCACAGTTAATCCATATGCAGGTTGTTCGTAAGGCTTCTGGTTATGCCTTTGAATGTTCCTGGGTGTATGGCTTCAATGACCCTGCTCTAAGAGTAGCTTTATGGGATCAGATTAGGGATGTTAGTGGGAGTGTGCAAGGACCTTGGATTGTAGGAGGTGACTTCAATAATGTCTTGAATGTTACTGAGAGGATGGGTGCTCCTATTTCATTGCAAGAAATAGACCCTTTTAGGCTTTGTTTAAGATAGAGTGGTTTGATTGATTAGAAGGTAGGTGGGATGTTCTATACTTGGAACAATAAGCAAGTGGGTGAGAGTAGGGTTTGCTCCAAGATTGATACAGTTCTTGTCAATGACATTTGGGCTGAGAATCACCCTGCTATGTAGGTGAATTTTCTACCAGGAGGGATTATGGACCATTGCCCTTGTGTAGCTCAAGTGTTTGGAAATGAGATTGAGGTGAAAAAACCTTTTAGGTTTTTTAACATGTGGTGTGATGCTCCTGAGTTCGTAATAGGAGTTCAAGAGGCTTGGAACACTGGGATTTCAGGAACTAGCATGTTTTAAGTTGTACAAAGGCTAAAATAGGTTTTTTCTTTCATGTTGCTATTAGGTTTTTTCTTTCATGTTTTAGGTTGTACAAAAGCTCATTGGCTTAAAGGAGGTGATTTGAATTTTTCTTTTTTCCATGTTGCTATTAGGAAGAGAAGAGTACATAATAACATCTATTCTATATTATGGATGATGAGGGAAGTGTAATCACATATCTTAACAAGGTGTGTGATGTTTTTTTGGAGTATTATAAGGATTTGCTTGGGAACACTAATATTGCTTCTAGTAGGGTTCATGAGTCTGTTATTGCAAAGGGTCCCGTCCTTACCCTTGAGCAAGGAACAAAACTTTGCATGGACTTTAGTGAGGTTGATGTGAAGAATGCACTTTAGAATATTGAGGATGACAAAGCTCCTGGGCCTGATGGCTTTTCAAGTAAGTTTTTCAAGGCTTCTTGGGAAGTTGTGGGGCCTGATATAGTAAAGGTTGTGTTGGATTTCTTTGCAAGTGGGTAATTACTCAAGCAAGTTAATGCTACTACATTAACTTTGATTCCTAAAGTGGATAATGCCACTAAGGTGTCTCAGTTCAGACCTATAGCTTGCTGCAATGTCTTATACAAGATAATTTCCAAGATGATTTGTGAAAGACTAAAAAAGGTGCTTCCTGTCCTTAATTGATCCTTGTCAAGGTGCTTTTGTGGCTGGCAGATCCATCTTGGATAATATCCTTATCTGTCAGGATATGCTAAAAGGGTACAATGATAAGAGTAAAACCCCTAGATGTACTATTAAGGTGGAACTTAAGAAGGCTTATGACTCAATTACTTGGAGTTTCATCAAGGCGATGCTGGATGCTCTGGGGTTCCCTGCCAGGTTTACAAGTTGGATAATGCAGTGTGTTACTACACCTTCCTTTTTTTCTCTTATGATTAATGGTGGAATGCATGGATACTTTAAAAGCATGAAGGGGATCAGACAAGGAGACCATATGTCTCCTCTGGTGTTTGTATTGGTAATGGAATACTTGACTAGAATGTTAAAGAAGATTGGCAGGAAAAGGCAATTTAAGTTTCATCCTAGGTGCAACCAGTTAGCTCTAAACCATTTAATTTTTGCTGATGATCTGATGCTATTTTCCTATGGGAATATGCAGTCTATTTCTTTGATGATTAGGGCTCTGAAGGCTTTTGAGGTTAGATATGGATTACAGGCTAGTCTGATAAAACGACTATTTACTTCGGTAGTGTGAAGACTAGAATGAAAGCTGACATTTTACATATGTCTAGATTTGTGGCTGGTTTAACTCCGTTTAGATATCTTGGCAATCCTCTTAATGTTAGGAGTTTGAAAGCTTCAGACTATGATGGTTTAATTGATAAAATGCTCCTAAAGTTGCATTGTTGGAGCTCTAGACATCTGTTATATGCAACTACAGTTACTTTGGTAAACTCAGTGCTTATGAGTCTGCATACATATTGGGCTTAGTGTTTGTTGACGCCTAAGAATGTTATGGACAAGATAACTCGGCTTTATAGGGCTTTTATATGGGATGGTAATGTTGTTCTTTCTAAAGCTCCTCTTTTGGCCTGAGACTGGGTTTGTAGGCCTAAGAGAGCAAGTGGATTCGGAATTAGAGACTGCATTAGTTGGATCAAGGCAGCCTTGGAGAGTTATGTGTGGAAGATTGCTAAGAAATCAGATTCTTTATGGGTCAAATGGGTTCATGTTGTTTATATCAAGAATCAGGACTGGTGGAGTTATGTTCCTTCTAAGAATTTTGGATGGGGTTGGAGAATGTTGTGTAAAGTGAAGGAAGATATGAAAGCAGGTTTTATTAGTCAGAATTGGCTAACCAAGAACTATAAAATTGTAGATGGCTACAAGTGGCTGCAGGGTCCTATGGACAAGGTGAGCTGGTGTTCTTGTATTTGGAATAGGTTTAATGTCCCAAAACATGCTTTCATATCCTATTTAGTTGTGTAGGGAAGGCTGAGAACCAGAGACAAGCCAGCAAAGTATGGAGCTAGCCTATGATGATGACATTGGTCTGCTATGTGGAGAGCAACCTGAAATCATTGCTCATATGTTCTTTGACTGCAAGTATAGTAAGCAGTGTATTTTGGATGTCTGCTGATGGTTAGGGATTAGTAATCATCAGTTTAGCATTGAGTATACTTGGAAGAACTGGCAGAGAAAGGCTAAGAACCCAATTCAGAATAATGTGATTATGTCTGTATTAACTGCTCTGGTTTACCACATTTGGTTTGCAAGGAATCAGGTGTATTGGCAGAGTGTTGTTATAGTCCTTGGTATTCTAACTAAAGTTGTGAAAAGGGAAGCCACAAGAAGAGTTCAGCAGCTTATTAATCAGAAATGGAAAGTTGAAGACTGTAAATGGTTGTATAGACTTAAGAGTAATATTTGATACTGTAGGTAGTGATTCTCTTTGTTGTTTTATGGTTGTTATTTTTCTGTCCTAGCCCTGGTTCCCTTGAGCCCATCCTAGAAGGTAGAAAGGTGACCTAGGGCTGGTTTTGTTCTGTGACTCTCAGAGCACCCTTTCTGGAAGATGATTCTGCTAGTCATCTGAACAGGTCTGGTGGATGTGTGGCCTTAGGGTCTTGTGTAGGTTGGGTGTTTTGTTTTTTTTAGTTGTTTTGCTGCTTGCTAGCCCTTTAGTTAGGGCTAGGTGTATATTGTTGTACAGTTTGTTACTTGTTTAATATATTTGCGTACTTACCAAAAAAAACATGTGATTAAGATAATGATATACAACTAATCAAGAGAAATGAAAGGAAGTAGGTTGAATCGTCACTATTGTTGCAACCCGTTACTACTTACGGTTTCGATTTTGGTTTCGGTTTCGATTTCGATTTCGATTTCTCTTGATTTAGTTTGGCAGTTACTTAATGCATTGTAACTTAATGTATTAATGCATTGTTTAATGCATGTTTTAATGCATTGTTTAATGCATGTCATAGTAATACATTGTTTAATGCATTGTTTCGATTTCGATACTTAATGCATTATTTAGTAAATGCATTGTTTCGGTTTCAATACTTAATGCATTGTTTCACATACTACTATCTTATATATATGAGACTCCTCATATGATGAATGGATAGAGATGAAATATTATTTTAATTTCTATCTTATCACTTTGGCATAGGAAGTTATAATTAGTTGTTCACTATCACAAAATTACAAATACTTTTATACATTGAATTGCAATAATCCTACAAGTTATTGTAATTGTTCTTCATTTTATCTCCTGAGTAATTTCTGTGATACCCGGTAGTAGAATAGAGTCGGAATTATACTTTTGGGAAAGTGACTCCGTTCACGCCTTGAAGTATTTCGTTAATTTCATTTCCAATTTTCGTTGTGACCCTTGTTTACTAGAAAATCCCTAACAATCCAAAAGTATAATTTCCTACAAAGATGGCAAATGTGAAGGAAATGATGACTAATTTTCAAAAATTGGACAAGTTCGAGGGAATGGATTTTCGAAGGTGGCAGAAGAAGATACATTTTCTGTTGACATCGCTCGGTGTAGCTTATGTTCTCACATCCCCGAAGCCTTTGGAGGAGGGAAACGAGACGTTGGATACCACTAGTAAGAGGAACAAGTGGGAGAATGATGACTACATATGTCGTGGCCACATCCTTAATTGTATGTTTAATGAATTGTTTGATGTTTATCAATTTCATAAGTCCTCTAAATTGCTTTGGGCAGAATTAGAGTCTAAGTATATGGCCGATGACGCATCTAGCAAGAAATTTATTGTTAGAAAGTTCAATAATTTTAAGATGATTGATAGTAGGCCGGTTATGGAACAATTTCATGAAATCCAAAGAATTTTAGGGAGTTTTAGGCAACACAATATCACTCTTGATGAGACCTTTATTGTTTCTTCTATAATTGATAAACTACCATCATCTTGGAAAGATTTTAGCAATGCTTTGAAGCATAAGAAAGATGATATTAATCTTGAGGGCTTGGCTTCTCACATTCGGATTGAGGAGGAAATCCGAGCGCAAGAGGGACAAAAGGATGTTAATCCTAGTTCTTCCACAATTAATGTGGTGGAGGATGCTAAGTCTAATGAGAGGAAGAGAAGAAATTATTCAAACAAAAACAAAGGCAAAAAGCCTAAAGTGGGAAGTGATGGTCAAAAATCACAAGCTTGTTGGGTTTGTGGAAAACCCGGACATTTTGAAAAATATTATACCATTTGGAAGAAAAAGATGAGCAACAAGAAAGCTCTAGGTGGGAAAGGCGGTTCAAGCCAATCCCAAGACAAGCAAGGTAATACTTGTGCACAAATTTCATTTAATTCTTTAATGTGTTATTTGTGTGTGATTTCTGAAATCCTATGTGTACAGGGTGATACTTCTTGGTAAATCGATCCTGGAGCATTGAGGCATGTTTGCAAGGATCGTTCATTGTTTAAATGTTTCGTTGAGGTGACCAATGGAGAGATTCTCTACATGGGGAACGGTTCCACCGCAAAAGTACTAGGCAAGGGACAAGTAGAGTTAATGTTTAGCTCGGGCAAATCTCTTATTTTAAGGGATGTATTGTATGCTCACGAGCTTAGGAGCAATCTAGTGTCCGGTGCTATCTTGAATCGTTTAGGATTTAAATTGGTGTTTAGTCAGATAAATTTATATTGTCTAAAGGTGGTTTATTTGTAGGACTTGGTTATTTATGTGATGGAATGTTTAAACTTAGTATTTCTAATACCTTGAAAGACAATTTGTATGTTGTTAATGATTGCTCTTCTCTATAACATGTAAGACTTGGACATGTTAATTATAAAAAGTTATATTTTATGTCAAAGCAGATTTAGTTTTGTGTTTTGATCCAAGGATAGAGAAGTGTGCATGCATGTTAACAAAAATCACAAGGAAACCATTTCCTAATGTTGTACAAAAGAATAATGCATTCCTTAATTTAGTGCATAATGATCTATGTGATTCTCATAGCACACCTTCCTTAGGCAACAAAAAGTATTTAGCAACTTTCATAGATGATTTTTCAAGATTTTATTATGTTTATTTATTGCATTCTAAGGATGAAACCCTTGGCAAATTTAAAATCTACAAGAATGAAGTAGAATTGTAAACAAACAGTAAAATCAAAATATTAAGAACCGATAAAGGTGGTGAATACTATAATCCATGTTATTTCCAATCAATATGAATAATACATGAAACTACCGCGGCATATTCACCACAACAAAATGGTGTAGCGGAAAGGAAGAATAGGAATTTATAAGAAATGGTTGATTCCATGTTATCCTATTCGGGATTGAGTGATGAATTTTGGGGAAAAGTGATATTAACCGCTTGTTACATTTTAAACCGAGTTACAATGAAAAGGAATGAGGTAACCTCCTATGAGCTATGGTATAAAAGGAAACCAAACTTGAGTCAACTCAAAGTTTGGGGTTGTAGGGAAATTGTATAAGCTAAGTGTCGGAACCTAAACGTAAGAAGTTAGGTGAAAGAGGAGTGAAATGCAATTTTATAGGATATGCGGAACATAGCAAATTGATAGGTCGTCGTCGAGCCTACCAAAGAAAATCATATCTTGGTCTCACTAAATAATAGCAAGGGTAAGAAAGGGTCAATCCCAAGAGAGGCGTTGAATCATCCACCGAAATACTACCATTTAAATAAGCTAAATCAAGTCAATTTTTTAGGTTGGTTTAAGTAACTTCTACTAGTCCAATTCAACTAAGGCTAAGAAGAAATTAACAATATTAAGAGGAATTTAGGGCTCGGGTTATACCACTCAACTTCATCACAAATCACAATTAGCATGCAACAATCAAGGTAAAATAGGGGATAAAATAGGGGAAGTCATCTAAGGCACCCAACTACTCTCTCAAGCTAGAGGGATTACTTGAATCATGAATAGAACCTACTTTCGTGGTTACAAAGCATAAAACAAGTGCTAAAGCATAATCACGATGACATAAACATTTTCAGCTGGAAATTCCTATTCTCATGGCATTCCAAGTCAATTAAGCATAAGGGAGCTAACTCAAATTCATCTCTCGATCCTTCGTTGAGAAAGCTTGGATAAATAGTCCTAACATTGGCCAAATGCAAGAACTAACAAGGAAACCACTTAAGCTTAACTAATTAACACCCCACAATTACCAAATTATTACAAGCAACAAGTTATTAGTGACTACATTGAGGGTTTTACCTAAATTATAGAAATTAGACTACTCACAATCCATGGAAATTAAGCAATTATATATTTCAAGAAATTAATGAATAAGTTCAAACTAAGAATTAAACTAATTAACAATCTAAGCATACAAGAATTAAGCAAGTAATTAACAACTAAGTAGAGAGAAGATATAAGAAAAGAGTAAGAAATAATTACTAAGAAGCTTCAAATCGAACAACAATGGTGCACTAGTAGAAAAAATGAAATGAGCACCAATTCAAAACTGGCTTTTCGCACCGGTTCAAAACCGGTTTAGATTTTAGGGGTGCGAATAAGTGATATTATTCGCACCGGTTCAAAACCGTTGGTAATAAAACTTTTCGCATCGATTAACCGGTGCCAATAATGCCTTCAAAAATTAAAAAAAAAATGTAAAACGTAAATTTTTTTTTTTTTTTTTTTTTGCATTTTTTCATTTAAATTGACACATAAACACTAACATATATATAAAATTATAATTTTCATTAATACAAAGCTGCAATATTACAATTTTAATTAAAAAAAAAACAAGTATAGCAGATTAGCAGTAGAACAGCAGTAGCGTAGAGCAAAATAGCAGCATGCAACAGGGGCATAGCAGCAATTAGCATAAGGAGATGATTCATCTTCGTCAGTCTTGACCTTCATCCCACCTAAACAAACTAAAGCAAAGTCAGATGAAGCAAAATAAACAAGAACTGGAGTAGCATAACAATTATCAGCATCAAAGCATTCTACCTTGGTAGCCAAAAACCGCGACCACTATTTGATTTGCTTTCACATTCTAGCACATGCATTTGAAGGGAAAGGCATACACATTTATTTATTTACACATATAAAATAAATGTCATACACATATATTTACAAATTTAAATTGAATTATAAGAGAGTGATCAGTTGCCAGAAACATATCAATCATATATTAAAGAGAGTTTTTAAATGAAAATTTTAGCGCCATGGAATAAAATTATAAATTTTATTACCTTTTAGATAAGCTTCAATCCCTAGTTCATTCCCTGCCACCAATTTGTTAATGGCAGCAGATTTCTCCTCAATGAGTGTCTCCTTTTCTGCGTTTTATATCATATTTACCTAATAAGCTTCCTTTCACCTTCACCATTTGACCACACTGCTTGCAGTGAATCATCCTGTGAAAACACAAGCAACAAAGAACAAATGTAACTTAAACACAAACCAAAGCTAACTCCTAAAACCGAGTTATGTAATCTGATTCCAAACCCTAAAACTTACTATCAAGTCTGCTAAGGTGGTCTCAAATGTATAGTCATCAGGAAGCTCTGTCAATAAATCTGGTGTCAAGTTCTATACATTATGTCAAATGAAATCAAGGGCAAACGATCAATGCAAATAATAATTCCAACACAACCTTCAGCTACATTAAGCTAGGCCATGCACACATCAGATCTCTCCCCCAATCTAAAGCTACCAGTCACACTTGCATAAAACTTGTGTAAACTTCCAAGTAGAGGATGATAAGTGAATCCTTAACAAACTAACAAAGCCTACATTTAGATATGCCAAATATGCATCCACTATATCTTCAAAGGTGCTGCGTGTATGATTTATCATGCTGCAAAAATTAAAAGGCATGATCAGCAAACTGAAATAATATAAATAGGTTAGATTTTGTAAAATAAGCATCATATTGAAAATAGCCTCAACTGATGATCATAGGACATTATAGAGAATAGATCAGCAAAAGAAACATCAAACCATACTTGAGATATCGGTTGCTTTCTTTGAGTGCATGAAGTTCAAATAAATGCTAAAACTTAAGCCTTTGCAACAAGAAACATAAGCTTAAGGGTGTTGAATCTGAAAATAAATGCAAATTGAACCAAATCCCATGTTCCGGTGTGTATACAAAACGAGTTATTCGATTTATATCTTTGATGCTTCTCTGAAAATACACTACACCGTTACAAATGCTAGTCTCATATGTAAATTTTCCATCACAACAAAAGATAATAGATAATAGTGATGTGAACAAGATAAATAATCCCAATAGAGTCATAACTAATAAGGTAATAGCAACATATCAGCATATAAAATATGACAAGTTCTTAAGACAACATAAGCAATTAGCAAAGACTCTCATAGTAAAAACAAGATAGTCACCATACAAAACATGGATAGTTCTTAAGACAACAGAAGTGATTAGCAGTAGACTTTTTAAGGTAACTAAATTGTCTGACATACAAAATATGGAAAGCTCTTATAACTACATAAGAGATCAGCAGGACAGCAGGGGTATCATGCCCCAGGCTACGCGGCTACACCATCATACGAGCTTTTGCTCAAAAAATCTGAATTACCTCGTCCAAGACATAATCACTATGAGTTATCAGGCACTCCATTTGGAACACGAATAAGGCTTCCGGCACAAAAAATGACATCCCAAGGCATTAGATCTCGAACTTGTTTAACGGTTTTGTCCCTCAAATTAAGCCAGAGAAATCTACATGGAGAGCTTACACCTTGATAATTTTGTCTCACTAGAAATCATGTCCATGACCATCCTTGGAATAAGCAATTGGTAGCGAAAGCAAAGACTTGAAAATACTTATATCAGACATGGTAAATAGTGGAACCCAATAATTTTTTAACCATGGTAAACTACTAATCAACCAAATCTATGCTACAACTTAAATAACATAAATTATTAAAAATTGAAATCAAGACCAAATATACAAAATTATTCGAAGCAGAAAAATGAACTTGATCAAAATGCTACTTCAAATCGATTATTCAAAACCACAACAAAAATACCAAGGAATTGCATACCCACAACAAATCCATCTAAAAACAACCAAATATCCATCTAAAAACAACCAAAAATCCATCTAAAAACAACTAAAAATCGGATACCCGTAACAAATGCATCGAAATAAAAAACCATAATCAACCAAAGCCCTAATTTCAAAACTGAAATAACAAAAACTCAACCAAATTATAAAATTATTCAACATCATAAGATAACCTTAACCTCTAAGGTGAGTATAATAATGGGGTAAGAACAAAAACTTTGGGTTGTCTCAAGACAACAAAGGAGGAGGAGGCGGGACGCCGTGAAGAAGAAGAGAGAAAAGAGATGCGCCACCTGAAACTCTAAAAATCTAACAACCAATCGCGACCACCGTCACCATCGCCTTGATGCCATGAAGAATGAGGATAAAGTGTGGTGGCGGTGGAAAGGGGTGCGTAGTGGTGGAAGTAATGGCGGTGGAAGTAGTGGAGTCACGAGGGAAATGGGGAAAGGTAGAAGTAGAAAGGAGAAGCGAGTTACAGAGAGAGAAAGAGAAAAGAGAGTGAGGCTGTTAGATTGAACTAAAGCGTGGTTTTCTTAAAAAAAAAAATTATAGCTCTTAACTCCTTTTAGGCCGATTATTAATTTATTGGGTTTTGGCTTGTATTTTACGCACCGATTTTCAAGAACCAGTGCTAATTTGTGTTTTTCTACTAGTGGTGGAACTTGTCTTCTACAATGATTTGGATTGAGATTTCCAAGCTAAGAATTAAAAGCTAACTAATGATTTGAGAGTTTTTTTATTTTCGTTCTAAAATTACAAACTAAGAGGAAGGACTCTAGGAAATTGGATGTCCGTACAAAAGAACCCCTAAACCTATTTATGATACCCCAATTACATAGTAAACTCCGCAAAAGAAAAGTCACAAAAGCTATCGGGCGCGGCCGTTCCAAGGCCTAGAGAGGCCGCTCCAAAGGAATAGAGAGGTCGCGTCAAGGCTTGGAGAGGTCGCGCCTTGCTAAGTATAATCGAGGCAGGAACTCCAGTAGCAGGGTGGAGAGGGCTCTCCAAATAGGTGGAGAGGTCGCGCGCCATATGGAGCGGCTGTGTTCTTACGTTGGAGAGGCCTCTCCGCATTCTTCTTCCAATTCTTCCAAAAGGGGTAGGAACTTTAACAGTAGAGTGGAGAGGGCGCGCCAGGTAGAGAGGCCACTCCTCACAAATTTCTTAAATCTGCCCAAGGGAGGCAGTAGCTACAACAACAAGGTGGAGAGGCCTCTCTACTGACCCAGAGAGGTCGTGCCTCAAGCTGGAGAGGCCGCTCCTCCTAGTTTTCTTCACTTTGCAAAATAGAGGCACGAACTTCTGTTGAGGTCAGGAGAGGCTTCTCCACTGACTTAGAGAGGTCGCGCCATTCTTTAGAGAGGCCGCTTCACTGCAGTTTTCTCTTTCTTCTTTATTTGGACTCCTTTGCCTTGGCTTCTTTCCATCATATTCTTTCTTCCAACCTCGGTATAACATCCAAGGACTTCAATTGGTCGTCTTACCTAAAATCTCAAACCCTAACAACCCGTGAAGCATAGGATATAGAAAAATTGTTATAAAAAAAAAGAGTTAAAGTGAATCAAAACACCAATTTATCAAGTAATCAAGGTTCAATAACACCCTAAAATCATAACAAATAACAAGTTATCACAAATACTATAGGTTCTATGTGATCGAACAAAATGACTATTGGTCGTTCATACCACCATTGAGTCTAAAGATGCATTGTTTGATGAAAATAGATATTCATCAATTCTTAGACTAAAAGATATAACTCCAAACACCAATGCTCAAAGTTTTGACCAAATTGAATTTGAACAATAAGAGATTGATGACCAAATTCATTTAGAGGGGGCATCAACATCATCATCTCAACCTAGGAGAAGTAAGAGGGCAAGGAATGAAAAATATTTTGGTCGGACTTTCATGTGTACTTAGTTGAAGGATCAAGGGATTATGTTACGACACAATTTTCATACATTTTTAATGTGGAAGATGATCCTTTGACATTTGATGAGGCTATGAAGTCTCGTGATGCTCTATTTTGGAAGGAAGCTATTAATGATGAGATGGAATCTATCATGGGAAATAACACTTGGGTGTTAGCTAATTTACCACCAAAATGTAAACCGATAGGGTGCACATAGATCTTCAAAAAGAAGTTGAGGATTGACGAAACTGTTGAAAAGTTCAAATCCCGGTTAGTGGCACAAGGTTTTACACAAAAGCCTGGTGTCAATTATTTAGATACATATTCACCAGTAGCTAGAATCTCAACTATTAGGTTGTTAATAGCACTTGCGGCTATCCATAATCTTATGATTCATCAAATGGATGTCAAGATAGCTTTCTTGAATGGAGATCTAGAGGAAGAAGTTTACATTTGACAACCAGAAGGGTTTGTTGTGGAAGGTCAAGAAGGAAAAGTTTGCAAGTTTATTAAATTTTTGTATGGGCTAAAACAAGCACATAAGCAATGGCATCAAAAATTTGATGAGGTTGTATTGTCTAATGGCTTCAAGTTGAACAATTCATACAAGTGTATATATAGCAAATTTGATGACAACGGTCAAGGTGTCATAATTTGTTTATATGTAAATGACATGTTGATCTTTGGAACGGATTTATCACAAGTTGAAATGACAAAATCCTTCCTTAGTTCTCAGTTTTCCATGAAAGACATGGGAGAAACAAATGTCATTTTGGGCATAAAAATAAAAGAGGGGAAAAGGAAAGTTGATGTTGTTACAATGTCATTACCTTGAGAAAGTGCTCGAGAAATTTAATGTTAGTGATGACTCTACTTCTCTTTATTCAACACCTATGGATCCCAGCATAAAGTTGATACCTAATGAAGGTAATGTAGTATCCCAACTTAAATATGCTAAAGTAATAGGTTGTTTGATGTATGCCATGACAAGTACTAGGGCGGATATTGCTAATGCAGTTGGTCAACTAAGTAGGTACACTAGTAATCTTGTATGCATGCTACATTGGCAAGTGGTTCGACGCTTGTTAAAGTACTTGAAGAAAATCATGGATTATGGTTTGTCTTATAGGATGCAAGTTGGATCTCTAACAAAGATCATTCCTCCACAAGTGGATGCGTTTTTCTATATAGGGGAGGTGCTATTTCGTGGGCTTTTAAAAACTTGCATTGCAAACTCCACAATAACATCGAAGTTCATTGCTTTGCATTCGGCTAGTAAAGAAGCCGAATGGTTGAAGGATCTCATGTTTGAGATACCTTTGTTGCCAAAACCGATTTCACCAATAGTGATACATTGTGATAACAATGCTACTTTGGCAAAGCCATCTAGCCAAGTTTATAATGGTAAGTCAAGACACATTGGAGTACGACATGATTACATTCAAGGACTTATCAAGGATAGTGTGATCACTATTATATTGATTAAGTTCAAACAAATCTTAATCTCGCCGATTGTTTCACAAAGGCATTGGTAAGAGATGTTAACAATAGGATGACAATCGGTTTAGGATTGGAGCCCTAAATAATTACAAATGAGGAAGTCTTAACTTATCGCCCAACAAGACGTTGGCTCTTAAGTTCAATAAGATTAACTCTCTCATTTTGCTAATTGGGAACTTGTTTTATTCATCCGAGGTAAAGTTCCGGATTTTCTATGATGTTGAGATAATGAGAGGTTGTTTAGCTTAATAGAATTCCTGATATTGTGCTTTGTCACAGGAGCATGTTTTGGAAATCTACCTATATAAGTACGAGGTTTAGCCGCTCCAAGAAATTATTATGGGCATAGCATCGATGTACTTATGAATAGATATGGACACATGGCTTAAAGTGTCAAGTAAATATGTATTTGAGTATTTAATCTTGTGTGTGTATTATCTTCAAGTATCCAATATGTATTGCTTTTGGTTCAAACGTTTTACGATACCAAATGGATACGGATTCTTGGACTATATGTTGCACTAAGTGGGAGTTCAAGTCTTTGTACACTTTCATGTATGCATAAGATTTTTTTTGTGATGATGATGTTTTTATGCAATAAATCGTTTTAAATAATCTAAATGAGGGAGGATTGTTGGAGAATTTTAGAGTATTTAGTTGATTATATTCGTGTTATGTTATGTTAAGTTTAAGTCATTTGGTTAAGGTGTCATGACTTAGACTACATAAGATTAAGATAGTGGTATACAACTAATCAAGAGAAATGAAAGGAAGTAGGTTGAATCATCATTATTGTTGCAACCGTTACTACTTACGGTTTCAGTTTCGATTTCTCTTGATTTAGTTAGGAAGTTACTTAATGCATTATAACTTAATGTATTAATGCATTGTAACTTAATGTATTAATGCATTGTTTAATGCATGTTTTAATGCATTGTTTAATGCATGTCATAATAATACATTGTTTAATGCATTGTTTCGATTTCGATACTTAATGCATTATTTAGTAAATGCATTGTTTCGGTTTCAATACTTAATGCATTGTTTCACATACTACTATCTTATATATATGAGACTCCTCATATGATGAATGGATAGAGATGAAATATTATTTTAATTTCTATCTTATCACATTAGCATAGGAAGTTATAATCAGTTCTTCGTTATCACAAAATTACACACACTTTTATACATTGAATTGCAATAATCCTACAAGTTATTGTAATTGTTCTTCATTGTATCTCCTAAGTAATTTCCGTGATACCTAGTTGTAGTATAGGGTCAGAATTATACTTTTGGGAAAGTGATTCCGTTCACGCCTCGAAGTATTTCGTTAATTTCATTTCTAATTTTCTTTGTGACCCTTGTTTACTAGAAAATCTCTAACATATGGAAGGAAATCATGTTGATATAATGATAGTCATGATTGAATTTTGCTAACATCAAATTGTGTCTCCCCAAAAATACCTAATGATTGAATATGTACAACTTGTTTAATTTGGTTCAATCTGAAATTAAACCGAAGATAGGTCAATGGACCTTTGAAACCGAGCGTAAATAGGGAAGTATAATTTTCCTAAACAACACATGTAAGTAGTAACCATGTTAAAAGTTGAGAGAATTGAAGACTTTAAAAGGTTAAAGGGCTACATAATCATCGTGTTGACTTATGGTTTTGAGAAGGAACGACGAGCGATGACCCTTCTAAGTGGACTTTCTCTTAATGACGGGTGTGGCTAGGCTCGTTTTTAACTTAATCAAACCTAAAAAATGATTGCTTACTAATATATGGAAATCAAATGAAAACTACAAATTTAATATATATAAATAAAGTAGGCATCTTTCGGGAGCATTCGGCGCGCCACATATGCAAAGGTATTATTTCGACCAATTAAAAATTAGATTTGTATTTTATTTTAGAATCAAAAAATTCACTCGTCACCTAAGCAAAAGTGACGAATGAGATTTAAGAATTTTTCCATGTAGGTATAAACAACGAATAATGATTTATTAGGATTTAAATTATTTAAAAACTTTTTCAACAAATAATGATTTATTAGGATTTAAATTATTTAAAAAACTTTTTTTTATTTTTTTTGAAGAACTAAATCTCATCTTTAGATATTAGGATTTAAATCATTAAAAAAAAACCCTAAACAGGGTAAATTATATTTTGATAT